ATTCCACCATAATTATGCCTTGAGCGTCCCAAAAAACAGATGCCATAACCTTTCCCGCCGAACTTGAAACTTTGAATTTCTTTGGCGTCGGTGAGGAGGCTCGTTTCCAAGTCATCGATTGTTGTTTCGTTTCAGGATCAAAATGGTGGATCCAGGTCTCGTCCATAGTCACAAAACGGAACAAAAAATTTTCTTGATCTGCTTGGAACTTTTCGAGATTGACCCTCGAAATGGCAACTCGATTTTTCTTTTACTCGTCGGTTAACATTCTGGGTACCCAACGCGCAGAGACCTTTTTCATATGCAACTCGTTCGCAAGAATTCTTTAAACGCTGCCATATGAGATCCCTGTGACCTCAGCTACATGCCTGATGTTCACTTTTCGATCTGCCAACACAACATCTTCGACTTTTTTCACGTTGTCTTCAGTGAGGGACGTGGATGGGCGTCCTTCGCGATGTTCATCTTCAGTGGATGTTCTGCCCAGTTTAAACTCCTTGGCCCAGCGTGCAACTGTAGAATATGGAGGAGCAGAGTCCCCCAATGTTTCCACTAAGTCACTGTGTATGTCTTTTGAAGACATTTTTTCAAACAGAGGTACTTGATGACAGCTCTAATTTCGTTTTTCTCCGTGTTTATGTTATCTCTTTGACATCATCATCATCATCATCATTACAGCCCTTCACAAGTCCACTGCTGAACATAGGCCTCCCCCAAGTAATGCCACAAAGCACGGTCCTGAGCCACCTGCATCCATCGACTTCCTGCATGTCTTACCAAGTCGTCACTCCATCTAGTGGGGGGTCGCCCTACACTACGCCTACCGGTACGAGGCTGCCACTCGAGAACCTTTCTTCCCCATCGGTTATCGGTTCTTCGAGCTATATGGCCGGCCCATTGCCACTTCAGCTTACTAATCCGTTGGGCTATGTCGGTCACTCTGGTTTTACTGCGGATATCCTCATTTCTGAGTCTATCACGCAGAGAAACTCCGAGCATAGCCCTCTCCATAGCTCGCTGAGCGACCTTAAGCGTCCTCATACGGCCAGCAGTGAAGGACCACGTCTCAGATCCGTAAGTCATCACTGGCAACACGCACTGGTTGTACAATCTAGTTTTTAGAGATTGAGGTATACCTGACGAAAAGATATGCCGTAATTTCCCGAACGCTGCCCAGCCGAGTTGAATCCGTCGATTGACCTCTCGGTCGAAGTTGGACTTACCTAGTCGGACTATTTGTCCCAGGTAAACGTATTCGTCAACAACTTCGAGCATAGTGCTCCCAACAACTACCGGCATAGGTGTGACATGGACATTGAACATGATCTTTGTTTTGTCCATGTTCATCTTAAGACCTATCCGTTGGGAGGCACTATTGAGGTCATTGAGCATAGTGCTTAAGTCCTCCAGCGATTCTGCCATAAGGACTATATCGTCGGCAAATCGAAGGTGAGTGATGTACTCGCCATTGATGTCAATACAGTATCCTTTCCAGTCCAGTAGCTTGAAAACTTCTTCCAATGCAGCGGTGAAGAGTTTCGGGGATATAACGTCACCCTGTCTTACACCTCTCTGCAGTTGGATAGGTTTCGAGCTCTGGTTCTGTACTCGGATAGCCATCGTAGCCCTACTGTACAAACACTTCAGCACTTCGATATACCGACAGTCAACTTGGCACCGCTGAAGGGACTGTAGCACCGCCCAAATTTCGACGGAATCAAAGGCTTTCTCATAGTCCACATACGCCAGGCAAAGTGGCAGATTGTACTCTTCAGTCTTCTGTACAATCTGCCGCAGGGTATGTATGTGGTCTATGGTACTGAAGCCTTTTCGGAAACCGGCTTGTTCGGGAGGCTGGAAGTCGTCAAGTCTGCGTGCGAGACGATTCGTAATGACTCTCGAAAACAGCACGTACACGCGGCTCAGAAGGGAAATCGGTCTGTAGTTCTTTAAGAGAGCGTTGTCGCCTTTCTTAAAGAACAAGACCACCGCACTTCTGCTCCACGCCTCTGGAGTAGTGCCACCATGGAGGACGGAATTGAAGAGCTTCTGAAGGACTTCAAGTACCGGTGTTCCACCCGCTTTCAGAAGCTCCGCTGTAATTCCATCCTCGCCTGGGGCCCTGCCGTTTTTAAGGTGCTGGAGAGCCATTCTAATCTCGCTTAGACTGACGTCCGGGATATCATCGGAATAGTGTCGGATAAGACTTGCTCTTGGATCGTTACTCACTGTCTCTTTGACAGTTCGTATTCAAATGAATGTTTCTCCCGGAAATCGTGATCTATTTATATGATTTTTTTAGGCTGACGTAGTGAGTATATAAGCAAGCAAATTTTTTTTTTTTTTTGGATTTTTTATGCGGATCTGAAGTAACCGATTATTATTACTTTTGGATCACCCCTCGTATTGTTTCTTTTTAATTTGATTAAAATATTTACTTAATATTATAAAGTTGCGTATCACTTGCTGAGAGCAAGTAAAATTAAATAAAAATTGTCTAGTTTAGAATGTAAGTTGAAACACCAGAACCGACTAATAGACATAGAGCACACCATGACTAAATTAATTAATGAAATTGTGGTTTTTAAGTTTTAGGAGTGTATAAAAATTGGGACGCTGAAAAATAATTAATTTTCAAAGGGAGCTGTAAAAGAAATAACTTTGATAATCTCTGATCTAGGGCTTCATAATAGCTTACCACCTGGTAGGATTGCGTTCAAACACCGTCTTATTATAAGTATAAAAAAACTGACCAAGGTGCCTCTTATTGACACTATTCCTACATTACGAATCATCGAACGAACGAACTTATCACTTGCAACCCACCTCGACAACGCACGGCACGCAATAAATCATTAAATCAAGGTTCCAACACTTCATCAATTTCAATTCGCTTACGGATTTCGCATCGATTAGTCGTGAATTTCAGCAATTATAGAAGTGCTTAAATATTTTCAATAAAATTGTGATCTAGATAAGCTTTTGGACAATTTCTGTTAAGTTGTGATTTTACAGTAGTGAACAACAAATTACAATGAAAAATATATTGAGAGAAAACATGTCTAATACATACGAAAAACCTTTCAACCGGAGCACCATTACATCATGGAGTCCGCCCAGCACGCCTCAACCACCACACCATGATGCTGCAGACCTCATTGAATTTTTAGCCACCCATGAATTTTTTAAATTAACAGGTCTGACATAATGAATAAAGAACAATATGGAATTATATAACAATAATCAATTGCATAGGCTTGGTTTTTATACCAAAGACAGATATGACATATTTTAAGACTCGTATGACTCCAGGCTAATTTTTCGATTTATGATAAGCCTTTGACATTGTGTCACATAGCATTATACAAGGTTATTTTTCAAAAAATAGTAGCCAAATTTTATATTTAAGTTCAAATATATAAATAATGATAAATCGATATTACAGTTTTTGAAAATACGAGTAAATAAGGCTTCTACTTTTATTTGAAATTATATCAAATCGAATGTGATTTGTGGACAACAACTACGCAGGGGCGCGCGTGCCCCTCTGTGTGCGATTCACTCCACAACTATTTTGCTGACCGAGCAACCCTTATGAATGTGTGCGTGCGTAGTAAAATAGTAGGCGTTTGATATTGATGAATGATATTCAGTTAAAATCATGCATTACCACTCATTATGAATTTAAAAGATAAAAAGGACGGATTTATTTTTATTACAGAAGGAATTTTTTAAATTAATTTTTCTTCGCCATTCGTCTTTATTACTTATTTTAAACTTTCTCTGCATATTTGGCCGTATGTTGCAAAATAACTGTATATTAAAAAGAGTTTTTACGGCTTAATAGTCAAAACATCCATCCCGGCTATGTGTCAAATATTTATTGTCAGTAACTGTCATTCGTTGCGGCAATTCGATTCCCGCCCTTTACCGCCATTTTGTTTTATAATATTGTTTTGAGCTTTGCTTTTAGCACTAATGTTATCTCAATAATATAAATTACATGTCACGTTGTTTGTCCGCGATGGACTTCTAAACTACTTAACCGATTTTAATCAAATTTGCACATCGGGTGCAACTTGAGAACAACTTGAGATATAGGATAGTTTTTTTCCCCATGAGTGACCCACAATTTTGTTTTTTTTGATTTTATTGTATAAACTATAACATTGTACCCATATATTTAAAGAAAACACGAAATTACGGAAATAATTTCCTCTCGGAAATTCTCCCGGGCAGTAAATACAAGCCGCAAACATATAAGAAATGACGCCTTTAAGAAAGATTCTATTGAAGGGTTATACGGTTGTAATTAAAGAACCAGCAGCAAGAGATATCGTCACTTAAAAACGTGTTGTTTATAATTTTCTTAACCCCTTAATGATGTCCTCTTCCCCTGATTATAGAGTAAACAAATTTTGGGTGCCTCAAGGCAGTATTTTGGGTCCAATATATTCTTGCTCTACGTTCAAATACTATTCTTACGTTTCAGTACTATTCTTGTTTTACGTGGTAGAGCCATCCTGTAACTATATTGTGGTTGCATCACGAATGGGTCGGCTTAACTGGACCATGCTCTCACAGAATACCAGCGTAAAATAGCAGCTTAATGGTGCTGTGTTACGTATGGTGAGTGTGGAGAACCGGAGACCCTCTTTCTGGAAACGAGGTATTCTATCTCAGTCCTCAAGGCTGGCAATGCGTCTGCATTTTGATTTTGAATTGAAGATAAATGTAGATGTCTATGGGCTACAGCATCCACTTAACATCAGGTGGACTGTGTGCTCGTGTGACGTGGACCTAATACTACAAAAAAAAGATAATGGGCAACACTCATGTGATACTTAATAAATCAATTATTTTTTCTCAATATAGCAGTATATCAATATTTGTGACTTCGGACAATCAATATAGTTCAATAAATAAGTTAATTATACAATTGAAACTAAACTAAAACAATATAAAAAGGATTATTACTCAAAAAGATAATTTGTTCTTAGACTGATACTGCTGCTGTGGTCGTGGATTGAGCAGTGGCGAGGCGGTGAAGACGCGGCCGAGCAGCCTGACGAAGTGGAGTACGAGACGCGGCGCGTGCTGCACGAGCTGACCGCGCTGCACGCCGCCAGATACTACTGTGCGCTCCTCGAGCTGGTGCCCAGCCAGGTGCGTGTTGTATGTCCTGCACCTGTTCTGCACCTGACCTGCACTGTTATGCTGTGGGGGGAGTAAGACACGCGGCGCGTGCTGCACGAGCTGACCGCGCTATACGCCGCCAGATACTACTGTGCGCTCCTCGAGCTGGTGCCCAGCCAGGTGCGTGTTATATGTCCTGCACCTGTTCTGCACCTGACCTGCACTGTTGTGCTGTGGGGGGAGTAAGACACGCGGCGCGTGCTGCACGAGCTGACCGCGCTATACGCCGCCAGATACTACTGTGCGCTCCTCGAGCTGGTGCCCAGCCAGGTGCGTGTTGTATGTCCTGCACCTGTTCTGCACCTGACCTGCACTATTGTGCTGTGGGGGGAGTAAGACACGCGGCGCGTGCTGCACGAGCTGACCGCGCTATACGCCGCCAGGTACTACTGTGCGCTCCTCGAGCTGGTGCCCAGCCAGGTGCGTGTCGTATGTCCTGCACCTGTTCTGCACCTGACCTGCACTGTTGTGCTGTGGGGGGAGTAAGAGACGCGGCGCGTGCTGCACGAGCTGACCGCGCTATACGCCGCCAGATACTACTGTGCGCTCCTCGAGCTGGTGCCCAGCCAGGTGCGTGTTGTATGTCCTGCACCTGTTCTGCACCTGACCTGCACTGTTGTGCTGTGGGGGAGTAAGACACGCGGCGCGTGCTGCACGAGCTGACCGCGCTATACGCCGCCAGGTACTACTGTGCGCTCCTCGAGCTGGTGCCCAGCCAGGTGCGTGTCGTATGTCCTGCACCTGTTCTGCACCTGACCTGCACTGTTGTGCTGTGGGGGAGTAAGACACGCGGCGCGTGCTGCACGAGCTGACCGCGCTATACGCCGCCAGATACTACTGTGCGCTCCTCGAGCTGGTGCCCAGCCAGGTGCGTGTTGTATGTCCTGCACCTGTTCTGCACCTGACCTGTACTGTTGTGCTGTGGGGGAGTAAGACACGCGGCGCATGCTGCACGAGCTGACCGCGCTATACGCCGCCAGACATTACTGTGCGCTCCTCGAGCTGGTGCCCAGCCAGGTGCGTGTTGTATGTCCTGCACCTGTTCTGCACCTGACCTGCACTGTTGTGCTGTGGGGGAGTAAGACACGCGGCGCGTGCTGCACGAGCTGACCGCGCTATACGCCGCCAGGTACTACTGTGCGCTCCTCGAGCTGGTACCCAGCCAGGTGCGTGTCGTATGTCCTGCACCTGTTCTGCACCTGACCTGCACTGTTGTGCTGTGGGGGAGTAAGACACGCGGCGCGTGCTGCACGAGCTGACCGCGCTATACGCCGCCAGATACTACTGTGCGCTCCTCGAGCTGGTGCCCAGCCAGGTGCGTGTTGTATGTCCTGCACCTGTTCTGCACCTGACCTGTACTGTTGTTCTGTGGGGGAGTAAGAGACGCGGCGCATGCTGCACGAGCTGACCGCGCTATACACCGCCAGATACTACTGTGCGCTCCTCGAGCTGGTGCCCAGCCAGGTGCGTGTCCTATGTCCTGCACCTGTTCTGCACCTTACCTGCACTGTTGTGCTGTGGGGGAGTAGCGACGCGGCGCTTGCTGCACTTAAAATATTTGCCTTAATTGTTACGATTGGTAGACGGATTGTTGCAACAATTTCGGTTGTTTCGCATCTTTGGTGCTGCCTCGGGATCTGTATTTTACCGCTTTTGTAAACTAGACGATCATACCACCATCCTTCACAACAACAAATTAAATTTATATTTTTTATTACCTACATAGAGTTGCCTATATTTTTAACTATAATACTCAGTATACTTTTGTAGTACTCAGGTGCTCTGGGCATGCGGTGTCCATGGTAACATTAATGTTATGGGTATGTGGATAGATTCGGCTGTCGATGTACACGGCCAGCAAGCTGGAGGCGGAGCTGAGCGCGCTGAAGAAGCGGCTGGGGCTGACGTTCGTGCGGTTCGAGGACGCGGCCGTGGAGCTGGAGCCGTTCGTGCGCACGCACGTGTTCGACACGGCCGCTGGCCTGGCCAGGCACACGCTGCAACACTTCAAGGATGTTAGTACCTCCTCCTTGTCTGTTTTTTTTTTAGTGAAAACCTTAGAATCGCTGTGATTTGAAACAAAAAAGAGACTAAAAAGAGACAAACATATACAGCTATAGAATTTAGCCTGCGTGAAAATGAGATAGAATACAGTATACACTGTTTCTTATTATCTAGGTTTCCTTTTCTGAACGTTTTAAATTCTCAAGGTAAGCAGACTTAAAAACTTGAGATTTATTTCCTCATTGTAGTACGTCGTTACCACTAATAGAAAGAAATATAAATCACATGCGCAGATATTTGATTCACAAGATAGCATTTACGTATATTGTACGTCCAGGAGCTGAAATGGCAGGCGGCGAAGATCTTGGGTTCAGTGGACTTCTTGGGTAATCCGTTGGGCTTCGTGGCCGACGTATCGGAGGGCGTGTCCGGGCTGCTGCTGGAAGGAAATGTGGGCGCGCTCGTTAAGAACGTCACGCACGGCATCTCCAATTCCGCCGCCAAAGTTACCGGTAATGTAAAATTTGTTGACTATTGTGATTTATGTTATTTAATATTATTATATGTCTTTCTTTATTTGTGGCAGATTCCAAATATGTTTCTGTATTTCCACATATGATTGAAATAATATTGATGAAATGATGAGATGTGTGCGCGTAGAGTCGCTGGGCGACGGGCTGGAGCGCGTGGTGGGGGACGAGGCGCACGAGGAGACGCGGCGCCGCCTCGTTGTGTATTGTTGATGAGATGTGTGTGCGTAGAGTCGCTGGGCGACAGGCTGGAGCGCGTGATGGGGACGAGGCTCACGAGGAACGCGGCGCCGCCTCGTTGTGTATTGTTGATGAGATGTGTGTGCGTAGAGTCGCTGGGCGACAGGCTGGAGCGCGTGATGGGGGACGAGGCGCACACGAGGACACGCGGCGCCGCCTCGTTGTGTATTGTTGATGAGATGTGTGTGCGTAGAGTCGCTGGGCGACGGGCTGGAGCGCGTGGTGGGGGACGAGGCGCACGAGGAGACGCCGCGCCGCCTTGTTGTGTATTGTTGATGAGATGTGTGTGGGTAGAGTCGCTGGGCGACGGGCTGGAGCGCGTGGTGGGGAACGAGGCGCACGAGGAGACGCGGCGCCGCCTCGTAGTGTATTGTTGATGAGATGTGTGTGCGTAGAGTCGCTGGGCAACGGGCTGGAGCGCGTGGTGGGGGACGAGGCGCACGAGGAGATGCGCCGCCGCCTCGTTGTGTATTGTTGATGAGATGTGTGTGCGTAGAGTCGCTGGGCGACGGGCTGGAGCGCGTGGTGGGGGACGAGGCGCACGAGGAGACGCAGCGCCGCCTCGTTGTGTATTGTTAATAAGATGTGTGTGCGTAGAGTCGCTGGGCGCCTGGCTGGAGCGCGTGGTGGGGGATGAGGCGCACGAGGAGACGCGGCGCCTCCTCGTTGTGTATTGTTGATGAGATGTGTGTGCGTAGAGTCGCTGGGCGACGGGCTGGAGCGCGTGGTGGGGGACGAGGCGCACGAGGAGACGCGGCGCCGCCTCGTTGTGTATTGTTGATGAGATGTGTGTGCGTAGAGTCGCTGGGCGACGGGCTGGAGCACGTGGTGGGGGACGAGGCGCACGAGGAGACGCGGCGCCGCCTCGTTGTGTATTGTTAATGAGATGTGTGTGCGTAGAGTCGCTGGGCGCCTGGCTGGAGCGCGTGGTGGGGGACGAGGCGCACGAGGAGACGCGGCGCCGCCTCGTTGTGTATTGTTGATGAGATGTGTGTGCGTAGAGTCGCTGGGCGACGGGCTGGAGCGCGTGGTGGGGGACGAGGCTCACGAGGAGACGCGGCGCCGCCTCGTTGTGTATTGTTGATGAGATGTGTGTGCGTAGAGTCGCTGGGCGACGGGCTGGAGCGTGTGGTGGGGGACGAGCCTCACGAGGAGACGCGGCGCCGCCTCGTTGTGTATTGTTGATGAGATGTGTGTGCGTAGAGTCGCTGGGCGATGGGCTGGAGCGTGTGGTGGGGGACGAGGCGCACGAGGAGACGCGGCGCCGCCTCGTTGTGTATTGTTGATGAGATGTGTGTGCGTAGAGTCGCTGGGCGATGGGCTGGAGCGCGTGGTGGGGGACGAGGCGCACGAGGAGACGCGACGCCGCCTCGTTGTGTATTGTTGATGAGATGTGTGTGCGTAGAGTCGTTGGGCGACTGGCTGGAGCGCGTGGTGGGGGACGAGGCGCACGAGGAGACGCGGCGCCGCCTCGTTGTGTATTGTTGATGAGATGTGCGTGCGTAGAGTCGCTGGGCGACGGGCTGGAGCGCGTGGTGGGGGACGAGGCTCACGAGGAGACGCGGCGCCGCCTCGTTGTGTATTGTTGATGAGATGTGTGTGCATAGAGTCGCTGGGCGACGGGCTGGAGCGTGTGGTGGGGGACGAGGCGCACGAGGAGACGCGGCGCCGCCTCGTTGTGTATTGTTGATGAGATGTGTGTGCGTAGAGTCGCTGGGCGATGGGCTGGAGCGCGTGGTGGGGGACGAGGCGCACGAGGAGACGCGGCGCCGCCTCGTTGTGTATTGTTGATGAGATGTGTGTGCGTAGAGTCGTTGGGCGACTGGCTGGAGCGCGTGGTGGGGGACGAGGCGCACGAGGAGACGCGGCGCCGCCTCGTTGTGTATTGTTGATGAGATGTGTGTGCGTAGAGTCGCTGGGCGACGGGCTGGAGCGCGTGGTGGGGGACGAGGCGCACGAGGAAACGCGGCGCCGCATCCGCAGTGCGGCGCCCGGGGCGCACCTCGCCGCCGGCCTGCGCGGCCTCGGCCTCGGCCTGCTCGGTGAGTCACCCGCACCCACACACCAATACCATGTTCACAACTATTTCATTTATTGAGGCATTGACTACAAGCCATTCGGCTAAAAGGAATATATCAAACACTGTCACCCATAATATTATTTTAACATTTTTTTTAATAATAATGTTTTTCAATGTAATAATTTTGGGAGATTTTAAATAATTTCTAGTAGTAAATTTCAAAAAGGTTTAAAAGAAAAATTCAATTTAAAAAATATATAGCAAACAGAGAAATAGGGTTGAAGACTATATTCAACCAAATTTAAGAAATACATTTTCACACCTGTCAGACTTATTGCACCAAGCATGCCAACCAAAAAATGGGAAAGTACAATATTCGATTCTTAAAAAAATCGATACCGATTATTTAGAGTTGGTAAGCATTTACAGCTTGGTTTGAATAATACCAGAATAAATTAAAAACAGATAATTTATAACACAAGATTTATCAGTTTCTTCCAGTTTCTTGTTTTTTAAGTTTATAAATTCATTCTAAATATATATATATATATATATATATATATATATATATATATATATATATATATATATAAGATGAATAGTTTTAGTGTAAACATAAACTCATTAGAGTTTTTCCGTACACCATTGCTGTCCACACATTATTCTAATTAACACATTACAATACATTACATTACCAAAGTTACATTAATATTATTATCAACTTAAATTAGGTGCATTAAATGTTATGTTTCTATTTGACAAATTATTTGTGGGTATAAAAATATAAAATAGTTTTAGGCGATGAGCGTAAAATCACATGGTGAACTTATTACATTCTGTGAATAATCGTGATACAGGATGATTAAGATAATATGTTGGTAAAGTAAACCAAAAATATAGAACGAGAAGTTCTTTTAAGTGTTACGAGTATTTAGTAAGAGTTAATTGTATATAAAAAAAATTAATTAATAATTTTATGTTTTTACGTGTTATGACGTCTTTCAAAGATTTAGGTAACTGATTGATTAGATTAGGCATAACATAGTTTAAAGTTCTTTTTCCGTATAAGTTATTATATTTAGGTAATTGCAGTTTTAGATTATCAGTTCTGCGTGCGGAGTATAATAACTTATCTACCTTTTTAAAATTTTCAGTAAAGTAATTTTCAGTTAGTAATGTTAGTTCACTTTGTCGTGAATAGGTAATTTTACAAAATGCAAATAGTTTTCGATAATCATCCTTAAAATTAATTTATTTATATATATATATATATATTATTTTAACCATTCTTCAGTTTATTTGTTTTTACTGCTTATTTCTAGAGGCACAGTTATAATAATTTTAGATTGAAACTAGATTAAAAATAAAGTTATTCAATCACTGTATTTTCAATAATGCAGTCAAAATTAATGTCTCTTTCAAAGTCATCCATAATCATTTTTTTTATTTTTCTACCACTTTTGCCCAATCACCTTTATGACATGGGCGCATGCTTCAACGATTTTTTTATAGCATTAGGTGACAAACGAGCACACAGTACACCTGATGGTAAGTGGATGCTATGGCCCATAGACATACACATTTATCTTCAATTAAGAATCAAAATGCAAATGCGTTGTCACCCCTGAGGACTAAGATGGAATGCCTCGATTCCAGTAAAAAGGGTCTCCGGTTCTCTACACTGACAGCATTACGCTGTTATTTTACGCTGGTATTCTGTGGTCCTGCCCTGGTTGAGCCGACCAATTCGTGCTACAACTATAATATAGATGTAGCGTGGCTCTACCACATACAAAAAGTTATTATAGAAGAAACAGTGCAAAAAGTTAAAGGCAAGTCACAAAATAAGAAGACAAACACAAAATTACGCACAGTAAGCTCTCGAAACAGAAACAGAAACGGTTTTATTTATTGTAGATTATGAATAATACTTATTGAAAGTCACTTTATATCTACCAATATTATATATTTCATCTACCACTGGTTCGCAAAAAAAACCCTGTCCTGAGAAGAACCAGCAAGAAACCCAACGGGACTAGTATTAAAAAAGAGCTTACAATCATGCGTGTTACAATTAACAACACAAAACAAATTAGAAATAGCTTGGTAGCGATCACCTTCCCAGGGGTTATTATTATCCATAAATTCCTCAGTATTAAAATATACCCTTTTTATACAATCTTAGTTTAAAAAAATTTTTGAACTTTGTGTACTTACGTCAAATTTTGTATATTTTCTGTTATAAAAGCGTATACATCGCCTCACCTCAAAAATGAATTACTGATTCTGTGGAGTCGAGTAACTGGTACCGAAATGGCGGGATATTGAAATTATGTAGTGGTTATTTTAGCACGGCCTTGTATATGAGTTTTTTTCCTACAAAAATTTACTTTGACAAAGTGAAAAAAATAAACTTGTTTTATTCATGATTCATGTAATTTAAGGAAATTTGAAAATAAAAATTTAATTAAACAAATACCTAATACATTAAAAAAATTAATGATTATTAGAATATTTTTACCGATTATTTGAATATTTTCCGATTATTCACATAAAAATGAATTTTAATCATCTAAACAATACGGTAATATCCATAGCGACATGTCATTGAAACGACCTCAAGAAAAAAAGTTAATACTGGTTATTTTTTAATATTTTGCTTTGTTTGAAAATTTCAAATTTAAACAAGTGATAGAAAACTATACACGTTGTAATGAAATATAGATAACTTCATAATTCTTCGGATTTACGTAAAACGTTTTTTTAAATCGTGTGAAAGTTGTGCTTGTGCAAAGTTATTGCGGAATGATTAATGTGAAACGTCAAAAGGTATTTCTTAGATTTGGTTGACTATAAATGAACTATCAGAATCAATCTGGGGATATTGGTGTATCTGTTTGAAATTTATTTGCTGAATACTTTCAATCCACTTACCTTATTCTTAACAAGTGTTAGATCTGTCAGCCAAACTTTCACAATCAATACCAAAATAATTTTAGTGTAAGTGACCTAGATATAAATCCCGAGCAGATACAAACATTGGTTAAAACCACAAACTTAAAGAAAAGCGCCGGATTTGATGGCATAACTCCTTTTTTCATAAGACAATGTGTAGGCATATAAATTATCAGTACATTATCAATAATAAGCCCCTTACTAAATTACACCTATGAAAGATTTAGGTGTAATCCAAGATCTAGCTGTTGTTTGATAAAAACATCGATTACGTAGTAAGAACGGTCTCCAAATCTCTCGGTTTTATTATAAGATCAACTATCAAATTTAAATTTTTGAAACCCATTAAAGTTCTTTTCTTTGCTTATAGATAGACGCAGTGATTATATTCTCTTTGCCTATAGAGATATAGAGTATTCGTGAGTATGCGTTTGTGGTCTGGAATCCGCAATATAACTTGTATATTTCTCGCATTGAATCCATACAAATAAGACTTCTAAGATATTTACAGCTTAAATAATATAAGCGAGTAGATGAGGGGTACGAGACGAGGTATAGGAGATATCACTTTTTAGCCTTAAATGGCAGACGGCAAGTATCAGGCATAATGCAACTGTTAAAAATTGTTAGTGGTCTGATCGATTTCCTTTCTTTATTAAAGCAAGTTTATATTTGGGTATCACTCTAGCAACCCATAGTTAACACTAATTATCGTCACAACTCTTTCTTCATCCGTGCACGTAACTTTTATAACTTTTGATTTCTTATATTTACGCGAACACTACACATTGACTGAAACAAATATTTACGGAATTTATCGCGTTTAACTTTTTAATTCGCGACGCTTGATGTACTTTACAGCACCCATGATCACGAAGGGACTTTAATTTTTGGTCCGCTCTATGCAGAATAAGCTTAGAGTATCTTGAAGTGTTGCAGTGTTATACTTGGGTTTGGATTTAATTTTATTAATTATAGGATCCCAAGTAAACGGCTACTTATCTTCTTCACAACCCAACTATCTTCTCTACGGAAATTGGGATGTTTTTTTTAATTTCAATAGCCTCGCGAATCATCCTAGGTAGGAGTCGATGTTCTTTTGCGAGGATTTGTTGTCTGTCTAATTTAATGTAATGGCGGGGCCGATCTTGAACATGTTCACAGAATGCCGACTTCCCGGAACATCGGTCGTCAGCTATATGTTCTTTAACGCGGGCTCTTATAGATCTTTTTGTTTGTCCTATGTACGAGAGACCACATTCACAATCACAACGAGAGACCACATCTTGTAGAGGGATATTGCACTTCAGGGATGGTAAGAATTGACTAATTTTCTTCGACGGCTTGTAGTATGTTTTAATGGAAACTTGCTTCAAGATGTAGCCCGAAACTTATTGTCTTGCAATACTTGGTTGGCATGCTGAAGCTCGGCGGTCAGATGTTTTCTGTAACAGATCCCTTGTGATCGCTGAAACAAAGATTTTTCCACGGTAGCTAATTGTGAAGGATGGTGGTGAGATTAACTGTTTAAATATCGCATGGTATGGGTCTCTTTCCTATACACACTACACAGTGTGACCAATAGTTTTATCAGGATTTCGGATGACTAAAACATCTAGGAAAGCTAAATAATTATTTGCCTCTATCTCCCGTGTGAATGGTATTTTAGAGTTTATGGAGTCGAGGTGGCCTAGAAATGTAGTTACTTTGTCAGATGGTAAAATTGTGAAAGTGTCGTCTACGTACCGTTTGTGGAATCTTGGATTTACACGAGCAGTAAGAAGGGCTTTCTCTTCAAAGTCCTCCATGAATATGTCGGCTACTATGGGAGATATAGGTAAGTCCATCGCCACACCGTTTACTTGCTTGTAGTACACGTCCTTCCAAAATAGATAGTCAGATGTGAGGCAGTGTTTGAGTAGTACTGCATATTCTGCAGTTGTTATGTTGTTATCTTCTAGCTTTGTAGTTACATGTGAATAGTGACTGAACATCAAAACAGACCATAGTTTTATTGTCAGCGAGATGTAGGTCTCACACTAACAAAATGGTAGGAACCCTTTGTGTGCCCTCTGGTATGACCTCTGTGTTGACAGACATCTGGGCTATATATTGTGGAAGTAAGAGTTCTACAAGCAAGTAGACGATGTGTTAATGGATTTACCTGTATGTCTCGTAGTCACCTAATTCATGGAGGAATTTGAGGAGAAAGTTTTTACTGTTCCCGTAAATCTAAGATTTTACAAGCGGTAGGTAGAAGACACTTTTACGATTGTACCATCCGACATAATAACTGCATATCCCTCTACAACATGCAGGAGTGTAGAAGCTTGATTGTGAATGTGGTCTCTCGTACATAGACAATCAAAAAGATTTATAAGAGCCCGCGTAAAAAAACATATAGCTGACGTTCCGGGAAATCTGCAAGAAGTGAACATGTTCAAGATCGACCCTGCTATTACATTAGATTTGATAGACTGCAAATCCTCGCAAAAGAATTCTGATTCCTACCTAGGATGATCCGCGAGAAATTAAAAACATCCTAATTTTAATAGGGAAAATGGATGGGTGCTGCCATCTGCTTGGTATCCTACAATTAATAAAATTAAATCCAAATCCAAGCACACCACTGCAAGACTTTAAGATATTGTAAGCTCATTCTGTGTAGACCGGACCAAACATTTATATCAAAAACTGAAGGTAGTCGGGTTACCTATGACATCGGGACATCAAATAACTCAGGCTCCCCACCCCACTTTTTGACCGTGTGTGCTGTAAAGCACCCGAAGCGTCGGGAATTAAAAAGTTAAATTAAACGTGATAAAATTGCTCGAAATTAATTTCATTTTTTTAATTTTTGATTTTAATTTTACCATGCGAATACTTTTTAATAGCAATTTAATAATAAATTTTGTAGCAAGTGAAATGTATCGATGTTGTCGTTGTTGCCAGTAAAAATATAAAAAAGTAATCGCTTGTGGTGTTAGGGGGGATGACGTCGCTGGTGAAGCACAGCTACGAAGGTGCGACGCAGGAGGGTCTGGGCGGATTTCTAGCGGGCGTGGGCAAGGGGCTGGTGGGCACGGTGACGATGCCGGTGATCGGCGTGCTGGACCTGGCGGCCGAGACGGCGGCGGCGCTGCGCGAGTCGAGCGGGCGCGGCGGCCGCGCGCCGGGGCGGGTGCGCGAGCCGCGGGCGGGAGGCGCGGGTGCCGGGCCGCTGCAGCGCTACTGCGCGCGCGCGGCGCACGGCGCGCGCCTACTGCACGCGCTGGCGCGGCGCGAGCGCCTGGTGGCCTACCGGCCGGTGCGCGGCGCGCCGCACGACATCCGCGCGCTGCTCACCGACACGCACCTGCGCATCGTCACCTGCAAGCACGACGCTCCGCACGTCGTCATGGAGACGCATCTAAGGTAA